AGACGTGGAAGCCTTTTTCTACTGGCGAGCCAGGAGAAGGTAACTATCAGCTGAAGTCAGTGGAGAAGATAGCTCCGTGACTAATTTGAAAAAAAAACGTCTGGAAAGATGAACCAGGTGCTCTAAAGAACATCTTGGCTGACTCTCTGCAACGCAGGCACTAATAGCAAAACAGAACGAATTGAAGGCGTGCATATAACAAGTAAAAATAAAGGGCGAAAAGATACCAACATCATTATCATCATACATAGCAAGCATCAGTGTTCAACACTGATGCTTCTCTGCCATACAACCATGACTTATTTGGAAGTCCTACGGCGAGAAAGAGAATAAAGGTGAAAAGGAAAGGGATTTGGTGCTGTCTCACTACAATCACTCCGAAGTGCGTACATCGCTGGACAATTATTCAGACAATCTGGATAGACTGATAACACGAACGCCATTGACATTGATTAGCAGCCATACCTCACGGCGTCTCCAACAAGGAATCACGCGGCACCCATCCTGGAGGGCGAACAGCATCGATAGCACCTATACTCCTCTGTCACCTATCTGCTTGTCACTTTGAATTTGGCACGGAAAACAGCACTCTTCGGCAAACGATGGTTGGGCATACGCAATAGTTTCAAAACCGAAAACTCGCCTTCTAATTGCCTGGTTACGGATTCACTGACACCAACCCACTCGAGCTATGGTCTGAGACAACGGCTGTCAAACACATGAAGACATCTCAGTTCCGCTGCTCGAACAGGCCAGGTCTCACAACAAGACAGCCCATGCTGTAGCCTGATACACATGTCCCTTGCGGATCCTGTCTGTCCAGCGTCGCGGTTGTAATCTGTGCTCAGGCTGGGCCTCTGACGAAGCAACTGATTGACTTTCTGGGATGTTGCCGAGATCAAAAGTGTCCAGAAGCATTTCTAGACTCATATCACTTGGTCCTGTGGGCAGAATCGGCGCATCTGTCGGCCGGATTTGGTTCGCCTGCCGCATCCACTTGGCTGGACCAACTTGAATCTCGTAGAGCACTTTGCTGGGCCGGCGAAGGATGAGTCCTGAGGTCCACGTAGGGCGTCTGCCGCTGTAGTCACGAACCAACACTTTCTGGCCTTCGCTGAATGCGCGCGCAGTTGCTCCATGATGCCGGCTGGACTGTTCCTCCATGCTGGTGTTGCGGTGACCGGTCTGCTTTGTTTTGGGCCGGATAGTGTCATGTGGTGTTCGGAGCCTCCTTCGGAGCAGTGCCTCTGCTGGTGATACTCCATCAGGTGAATTGGGGTTTGGCGTCGCTCGATATGCCAGCAGGAACCTTTGCAAAGTCTCTTCCGTTGGTCCCTCCCCCCTAGACTTCTGAAGTGTCCGCTTGAGAGTGTCAACAAAGCGTTCCGCTTGGCTGTTCGACTGTGGATAAAACGGCGGCGAGCGTATATGCGTTATGCCATACTCCCGACAAAAGTGTGCGAACGCCGACGACGTATTCTGACTGCCGTTGTCAGATACAATAGTCTCTGGCGTCCCAAAACGACTGAACAGTCGCCGGAGTTCCAGGACTGTGATGGCGGTTGTGGGGCTGTTCACCGGAAAAATTTCCGGCCATTTGCTGTAAGCCTCGACAACGACCAAAAAGTGTTGGTCACCCACTGGACCTGCATAATCAATGTGAAGACGAGACCAGGGTTCGGTCGGTTGCGGCCACGAGCGTAGGTAGGTTTTCACCGGTGACTTGGATGCTTCAGCGCACCGCAGGCAACATTTCGAGACTTGTTCGATCTGGGGGTCCATCAAAGGCCAGTAGACATAACTCCGAGCAAGGGCCTTCATCCTGTGTGTTCCCGGGTGCCCTTTATGGAACTGATTCAGGACGGCTGGTTGTAACTTCTTCGGGATTACTGCACGTTCTGAAAACAACAGGCATCCATCGGCTAGTGATAGTGCGTCACGCCGGTTGAAGTAAGGCTTCAGTTCGTCTTTTTGGCAGGTACGCGGCCACTGATTGCGATGGTACTTTATGACTTGCTGCAGCACAGGGTCTTGATCGGTAGCCTGGCGGACCATGTCGGCAGTCACTGGGAGGATGCGAACAGCTTCGGAAACTACGTGGTTAACCTCTGGTTCCAAGGCAATTGTTGCGATCACGGTATCTTCTGGTTCTGGCCTGCTTGAACCAATGAGTCGGGACAGTGCATCGGCTTGTCCCAGGCTGGTGGTGGACTGGTATTTTATCTTGAAGTCGTACCCAAGAGGCAGAGTGGCCCATCGCTGGGGCCGGTTGGCAGTATATGCCGGAATTCCTTTCTTCGAGCCGAACACAGCAAGAAGTGGCTTGTGATCGTTCAGTAGGGTGAAGTGACGGCCGTAGTGCATTTTATGAAACTTCTTAACGGCAAACACGATCGCCAAGGCTTCCTTTTCTATCTGACTAGTTGCGCTCGGCTGAAGTCAGGGATCTGGCCACATGTGCAATGGCTTTCTGGCTGCTATCTGGAAATACGTGTGAAATCACTGCGCCAATTCCATAGTTTGAGGCGTCCGACGCCACAACAATTTCCATCGATGGATCGTAGTATGTGAGTAGCAAATCGGAACTTAGCATGGATTTGACAGAGTCAAAGGCGCGTTGACATTCTTCTGACCATGTCCACTTGTGGTCCTTGGTAAGTAGCTGATTTAGTGGGCCTCGAAGGCGATGCATGGCAGGCAGGAACGAACTGTAGTGACTGACGAGACCGAGGAAAGACCTGAGGGACGCCACGTCTGTGGGTGCTGGCATACGTCTGATCGCTTCAATGTTCTCCGGGTCTGGACGGCGGCCATGTTCGTCAATAATGAACCCCAGGTACTTTATCGACCGCATGAAAAATGTGCATTTCTCTCGGCGCACTTTGAAGCCATATTCTTGAATACGACTAAGCACGTAATCAAGGCGCTGCCACAGTTCGTGGGGATTGGAACCCATGACAATGAGGTCATCCAAATAGGCGGCAACGCCTGGTGCATCCTTCAGCATCGTATCCATAATCTGTTGAAATATGGCCGGCGCTACTTTGACACCAAATGGCAGTCGAGTGTACTGGAACAGACCTCGATGCGTATTGATCGTGAGCAGTTCTCGGGATTCTTCCTCCACTTCAACCTGGAGATACGCATCGGCCAAGTCAATCTTTGCGAAACATTTACCCCCATTCAGTTTCGCGAACAAGTCGTCTGGGAGAGGCAGAGGGTATTG